CTGATTTATAAATCAAAAATTTTACCAAACAAGTTTTTATTTGAGTTTTTAAAATTTTTGTAAATATAAACAAAAAACAGAAAACGTAAGTGTTACCAAACGCCACCTAAATATTTTTTGTTTCCCGAACTACATCAATTATTCATTTTAGTGTGAAAACCTTATCTAAATAAGCAAACAGTAATAAACTATTCAGAATCTTTCCTTTTTTTAATTTTTTATAACCAAATACATCAATGTTTGACGTTAATTTTATTAAAAGATAAAACAAACAACAAAAAATAAGCAAACAATAATTTACTATTCAGAATCCTTTTTTTTTATTTTTTTTATAACCCAAATACATCAACGTTTGACATAAATTCTGTTGAAAGATAAAGAAAACAGTAATATAAAGTAATCAAAATCTTTTTTTTTTCATTATTTTTCATTGTTGCTGTTTTTTTTTAACCCAAACAGAAATTTTAAATATTAATTTTGTTTTTCTAATAAATACATTAATAATTCTGTCAAAAAATAACCAAACAGTAAAATTATCTATTCATATCCCCCCCCCCCCCAAAAAAAAAAAAAAAACACCCAAATACATCAGCATTTGACATTAATTGTGTTAAAAGATAAAGAGTACTGCCAATCAAATTTCCTTTTTAAACCCAAATACATCAATATGTGATTGATTTTAATTCTGTTAAAAATAAAGCAAACAAAGAATAGTCAAAAAATTTTAAAAAAAAAAAAAAAAAAAAAAAAAAAAAAAAAAAAAAAAAAAAAAAATCAATATGTGATTCATGATGAGTAACAAAAAAGTTAAGAATAAAAAAGAGAGGAAAAAATGAACCTCAATGTTTGAATCTAAAAATTTGTGACGTCGTACTCAAATTGAAATTCGATTAAGGCTGCAAATAAAACTGTCCAACCTATATACCAATTCATTTGAGTATAGAAATCTTATCTAATAAATAAGCAAACAATTGTACTTTCTTCTTCTTTTTTTTTTTTATCATAAAAAAAGAAACTCTAAGGTGTTATCACTGCGTCTGAAGGCTCAGGCCTTGAATAGCTGGTTGTCAACCTGATTTAATCCAACCCAAAAAAAGCAACCCATTATCGAGACACTAATAGAGTTCAACCACATGCTATAGACGAGCTCAGGCTTTGAGAAGAGTACAGACGAGATCTCCAAAGAAAGTCAGTTACAAAGCAGCGAAATTTGTCCCTCTTAGGAATCGAACCTAGGTCACGCCTTTAGAGAGGGATGTCTTCTCCACTAGACCACCACCCCCAGTGGTAACAGTTATGTACTATTGAGAATTTTTTTTTTTTAACAAATACATCAATATTTGACATTAATTCTATTATAAGATAAAACAAACAATACAATATGAATCATTTTTTTTACACAAATACATCAATGTTTGACATTAATTATATTGAAAGATAAAGAAAATAGTCGTATAAAGTACTCAAAATCTTTTTCTTTTTTTTTCATTGTTGTTTTTTTTTTTTAAAACCCAAACAGAAATGCTAAATATTAATTTTTTTCCCCCAGAAATACATCAATAATTCTATTGAAAAATATTGAGAATCATTTTTTTTTACCCAAATAAATATATATCATTTTTTTCATTATCAATAAATCTTTTTTTTTTTTTTTTTGACTTAATTGGGGCATGGACTTGCAAATGGAGACACACATAAGCGTACCATTACAAATTGAGAGTAACAGAAGAAGAATGGGAAGTGCGGTGGTGTGGTGACTGACTGACTCTGTGTATGGATTGTGTGATTGATATCAAGAACTTTGTTGAACGACACAAAGTCTGTAAATAAATAAATAATTTTTTTTTTTAAATTGTTCACAAAAAACTTCATCACAATTCATATATCATAAAAGAAATAAAAAACATAAAATAAAAAGAAATTGAGAGAGAGACAGACAGAAAAGTTCCAGTTAAAAACAAATTGAGAGAGATAACTAGAGAAAGCAATTTCAGTTTGAAAAAAAAAAAAAAACTCTAGAACCCAAAAAGAATTTAAGAAAGAGAATTGATTCATCCATAATAAATAAATAAAATGAGAAATTGATAGAGAGGATTGGTGAAAAGAAACAGTATTCAATCGTAAGTTGAAAACAAAACAAAAAAAAAAACTCTACAGTAATCCACCAGTGTTTTATGTACTAAAAATAAATAAATAAAATTTTTGAAAGTGTGACAATAGAATTGGTTCATCACAAATAAAATTGAGAGAGAACTGGAGAAAAAGATAAATAAAATTTATAGCCAAAAAAATAAAAATAAATTCAGAATGATAAAATATTAGGCATCTTCAACTTTTAGAAGACAAGTGGAGAAGTAATGACTTTGTGTGAAGTAATGACTTTGTGTGTTTTCAATTTTCAGAATTCACTTTTTAAAATTTTTTATTTTTTTGTTTTTCATATTTTTTTTTATTGAATTTTTTAATATTTTAAGTAATTTTTTAAAATTTTTAGACACACCTAACATAAATACACTTAGAAAGTATAATATTTGTGAAAAAATCTTTTAAAAATTTACTAAATACCAAAAATGCAAAAAAAAAAAAAAGTACTAAAATTCAATACATTTTTTTGTATTTTTGTGTATTTACCAATTTTTAAAAATATTTTCTCACAAATAATTTACTATTTAGATACATCTAAGTAAGATATATCTAAAAAAATAAAAAAAAAATTGCATAAAATTTTAAAAATATTCACTAAAAACAAAAAAAAATGAAAAATAAAAAAACTCAATTTTTAAAAAACTAAATTCCGAAAACAGAAGCTAAACACACTGAATGGGAAGTGAAGATGCTATTGTGCGGCAAAATGGGCCAATTTCAAGGCCAATTTTGATAATCCGAACTGTTCACACTTTAGAGCATAATAAGTAGAACATGCCTGTAAAATATCAAGTTAATTCGATATCGTTTACCTATTCATCCACTCACATTTGTATCTATAAAAATAAATAATAATTGTGATTTAAGGTATTAAAATGGCTACAAATATGAGTGGATGAATAAGTAAATGATATCTGATTAATTTAATTTTTTGCAAGTATATTACTACTTGATGTATTCTAAAATATGAACAATTTAAATTATCAAAATAAGCCCATTTTACCGCACAGAAACCGCTGTTGTGCCCTCCGTGCAGCAGCATCCCCACTTCCCACTGAATGGAACTGCCTTGCCTAGGTGTTGATGATAGAATAGGTAATTGAATTGGTTTAAACGTGGGATTTTATTTTGGATTTTGTGTAACGTATTTTGCCGTTACAATTATTATTGCAATGTTAAGCAAGTTAAAAGGAAAACCAATGTGCAGTTATGTAATTCTTGTGGGTATAGTAAATTATGAGACACTTTTTTATCAATTCCACCAGCAAGCTTTACAGTATATATTAGAATAGATATATCAAAATTAATCACCGCTCAAAATAAGAATGTTAAACCTACATTTCTTGTGATAGTAAGCTCACATTAATAAATAAATGTGAAAATATATTTTTTTTTCCCCAAATATATGTTGATTCAATCATATAATAAAAGTTAAGAAATCTTTCCCAATTGATCTCCTTGACCCTCCTTTGAGAATCATATAGGCTCTTTTCAAATGTTTATGTTCATCTGAAATTTGAACTATTCTTCTTCTTTTTAACTTTACTTATTTTATTTTTAAGTACTATTTAATAACTTCTAAGAAATTTTCCTCACTTATTTTTATTACCCTCCCTTAATTCTGTGTTTGGTTGGGGGATTTGAGGAGGGATTTGGAAAGGGAAAGGGAAAAGGAGAAAGAGAAAAGGTGTGTGAAACTAGGTGAAATATAGGCATGTTTTATTCATATTTCACCTACCTTTTCCATTTCCCTTTCCAAATCCCTCCCCAAATCCTCCAACCAAACACAGCATAAATGCCATAGATTTGCTCCTATAGATTGATTCATTTTCTCATGAGTGAGAGTTACAAAATCTTATTTTCACATTGAGTGAGAGGTACAAAATAAATTAGAATAGCAATTAATATTGGTACAAATAATCTTATACAACCTAAATTTTCTTATCAAACATAGCACATGCTTTGTAACTAAAGAAGAAAAATTAATATATAATTGTAAAAAAATTGATAACTTCAACCCTACTAACTAGGGATGAGTATTTTTTCAACTTACACTCGTTAACTCAAATTTTGGATTGAACTAATCCATTGACACAAATAGTTCATGGAAAAATCAGGTTATTTGGGCCCTTGAGATAGATTGACACGGTGAACTGCTAGTTTTTAGATACAAAATGTCCATCATTTGCCCAATTGACATATTTGAAGGAATCAATGTTGGACTTCATGTATCCTCATCAATTCGTGCAAGGATTGGACAATACCCTTTTCTAGAGTAACTTTAAAGCTTGATCAGCTGAGCCAAACACTGCTTACAATTTCTAAATTTGAGGGCCAAGAACATGTAATCTTAGTTCTAATAATGACAAATATGTATTGCAATTTGCAACACCTTTTTGTATCATGATCTAGGGATTGTTTGGGGTGTCCTAAATAAGTGCATTTTTTGTCTTTTTGGACTAAAAAATTGAGGTTGAAAATATGGATGTTTGGGTTAACTTTTTGACTTTTTATGAAAAAATATGTAATAAAAAATTGTAAAAATTGATTTGTAGGGAAAAATTTGAATTGGGAGTTGTGCAGCCGTAATTGTTGACTTTTGGTGAATAGTGTTAACTTTTTAACTTTTTGAGTAACTTTTTGACTTTTTGACTTTTTTACTTTTTTACAAGTTCCCAAACTTTGCCTAAAATTTTGAAGAAAAATGGCAAAGCACAATAAGCCTTACAAGCCAGAAGTTAAAAATGAACACAAAAGACAAGATTCTTGCAAAAAAGTACAACACAATGGAGCTAAATGCCATTGTACAACTACAAAAACAACCCAAGTAGACTCTCAGAGACCTAATCCAACAGTTAGCCACCTCTTTGACGGAGTCCAACAGTGTATTTTTCAAATCCAGTTGTAGTTCCTTCTGCTTCTCGGCTTGGAGGCCGCTGCTTTCTTGGTTGTCGGGTTTGTGCTCCACTTTCAGTTCGCCCTTCACTCCCTACAATTGGCCATAGGTACGAAGGCAACCTCAGACTTTAAAAACAACCAATCAATCAGGAGCAAGCAATGAAAGATGCATCATTCTAGGTTATCAAGTTAGTATAGCTGTATAACAATAAAACAAATGAGAGGAACGGAGAATTACCATGAATTTTTTGAATTTTTCTTGCCTTTTTTTCTTCTTGGTTGTCGGGTTTGTGCTCCACTTTCAGTTCGCCCTTCACTCCCTACAATTGGCCATAGGTACCAAGGCAACCTCAGACTCTAAAAGTGTGTTAGTAGATGGCAAGAAATTATAACTAAAATGAAAATAATAATAATAATAATAATAAAAACAACCAATCAATCAGAAGAAAGCAATGAAAGGTGCATCAGTTTAAGTTTCATAGTTAGTATAACTGCATAACAATAAAACAAATGAAAGGATCGAGAATTACCATGAGTTTGTTGAATTTTTCTTGCCGTTCCCGATCAGAAAACAAAGCTGTATCCCAGTGATGACCAAACTGTATAATATTCGAAAAAGAGAATTGAACAAAAATATGAACTAGCAATAAAGATGGTTAATAACATAGAACATTTGATAGTGTGTGCTATATAGTTTGAAGGAATATCCAGATGAATTTGGACCATCTAACTTACAAATCTTTTCGGTGCTCCAAATGCAACCACCACCAACTAATCTAACATAACAGAGTTTAATGACTTAATAGCAAATTATGACAGTTTTTTCCATTTGGAAACATTAGGCGTTGAAACTATGTCTACATTCTTCCTCTACACACACATTGCCAATGGGAAGGATAAATAAACAACTAACTATAAAACTGCATGAACTAATGATCTTAATTAATACCTCTTCAGCAGTAGTGCTCTTTTTATTCCCCCACAGCAGCTTCTTCTTTTGATCAGTAGACATGTAACCCGTTCCAATGAGGTTCCTATTAACTACGGGAGATAAACAAAAAATAAAAAACAAACAAACAAAATTAGCAGACTGCATTGGTGTCAAAATGTGATAATTATTTGAGACTTACGCCTATGTCTTATTAGGTAGACTTATTACCCAATAGGTCCTGTGACAATTAATGACATTTTTTTATCAAAACGTTCCTAATTGTTAATTTTCAACGACAGTTAGAAAATTTTGTCATAAAAAATGTCACTAATTATAAGTTATAGCGACAGTTTAAAAAAATCGTCACAAAAAAATCACTAATTTTTAACTTTCAGCGACAATTTAAAAAAATCGTCACAAAAAAGCGTCACTAATTGTAAGTCTTAGAGGCAATTTATAAAAACCGTGATAAAAAAACAGGTCGCTAATTGTCAATTTTTGGTGACATGCAAAAAATATCACGAAAGTTATTTTTAGACTAGGATTTATTTTCAATAGGGCTTGATTGGAACTAAGTCCAACAATTAGGACTTATTGATAGTTTACCCTAACTATTATTAGTTTTTTTTTTTTTTTTTTTTTTTCTTTTCATGTAGACATGGCGTAAAATAGTTGACAGGGCTTCAAAGGTCTTCTTGGAGATGCATTACAACCGGCACAAGCGCTTGACAAATGATATTGCTTAGACCATGCTATTTCACACTGGAAATTTTTATCAGACCTGGCGTGTTGGGAAGGAAGGTTTGGCCCTTGTGCACTACTAGCGTCTAACATATATTTACTTATTCTTGTATATGTATTTTATCACCACAGCAAAATAATTGTTATATTTTGTGTCATACAAATTAAGTTTTTTGCCCTCAAAGTTGTCTTTTATGGAGCTGTGTGATTTAAATTGGTAATCCAATTTTCCCATTATGATTTATAAAATCCAGTAAACATTTTGCTGTGGAAATTTTTATCTGACCTGGCGGGTGGTGGAAGGAAAGCTTGGTCCTTGTGCGCTTCTAGCATCCAACTTATATTTACTATTCTTGTATAGGTATTTTTATCACCACAACGAAATAATTGTTGTATTTTGTGTCATATAAATTAAGTTCTGCCCTCAAAGTTGTCTTTTATGGAGCCGTGTGTGACTTTAATTTGATTATCCACTTTTCCCATTCTGAATTATAAAATCCAGTAAACATATTTTGTTGTTGGTAAGCAATATTGATTATCCTTGGACCCTTCCGAGGTGTTTGGGGCATTTTCCGGTCCTTCTCGTGACTGTTACACGGTTTTGGCCCGCCCCCAGTGGTCCTATTTCCAAGCTTAAGTGTCGAAAAAGTGTTTCTTTCTAACTAAGTTTTCAAACTGGGAGTCCCGTTCTTGTTCCGTAATTTTCACAACTCGCGTTGGTCACTCCCGATGTGTTTGAGGTGTTCCCGGCCCTTCTTGCGACTGTTACATGATTTTGGCCCCCTGATGGCCTACTTCCAAGTTTAAGTATTAGAAAAGTGTATTTTCCGACCTAGTTTTCAAATCGGGAGTCCCGTGCCTCTTCGTTAAGTTTTCACAACTCAAATTAGTCCCTCCTGAGATGTTCGAGGTGTTCCCCGGGCCTTCTCGTGACTGTTACATGATTTTGGCACGCCGAGACCCATTCTCAAGCTTAAGTTTGAAAATAGTACCTTTTTCCACCTCGTTTTCAAACCGGAAGTCCCGCGCTAGTTCCGTAAGTTTCCACAACTTACATTGGTTTCTCCCGAGGTGTTCCATGGGCCTTCTCGGTACTGTTACAGGATTTTGGGGGGACCCCGATGGCCTATTTTCAAACTTAAGTGTTTAGGAAGTGCATTTTTTGACTTAGTTTTCAAACCGGGGGTCCCATGCGAGTTCCGTAACTTTTCACAACTCGCGTTGGTCCCTCCCTAGGTGTTTAAAGCGGTGTTCCCCGGACCTTCTCTTGACTGTCACACGATTTTGGCCCCTCGATGGACTATTTCCAAGCTAAGGTGCGAGAAAAGTGCCGTTTTGGACTTGGTTTTCCAACCCGGAGTCCCGTGCGAGTTCCGTAAGTTTTCACAACTTATATTGGTCCCTCCTGGGGTGTTTGGGGCATTTCCCGGTCCTTCTCGTGACTGTTACACGGTTTTGGCCCCCCCCGGTGGTCCTATTTCCAAGCTTAAGTGTCGAAAAAGTGTCTCTTTCTAACTAAGTTTTCAAACTGGGAGTCCCGTTCTTGTTCCGTAATTTTCACAACTCGCGTTGGTCACTCCCAATGTGTTTGAGGTGTTCCCGGCCCTTCTTGCGACTGTTACATGATTTTGGCCCCCTGATGGCCTACTTCCAAGTTTAAGTATTAGAAAAGTGTATTTTCCGACCTAGTTTTCAAATCGGGAGTCCCGTGCCTCTTCATTAAGTTTTCACCACCGAAATTGGTCCCTCCTGAGATCTTTGAGATGTTCCCCAGGCCTTCTCGTGATTGTTACACGATTTCGGCCAGCCGAGAACTATTCTCAAGCTTAACTGTGAAAATAGTACCTTTTCCCACGTTTTCAAACCGAATGTCCCGCGCTAGTTCCGTAAGTTTCTACAACTTAAATTGGTTTCTCTCGAGGTGTTGGAGGTGTTCCACGAGCCTTCTCGGGACTGTTACAGGATTTTGGGGGCCCCCGATGGCATATTTTCAAACTTAAGTGCTTAGGAAGTGCATTTTCTTACTTAGTTTTCAAACCGGGAGTCCCATGCAAGTTCCGGAAGTTTCCACAACTCGCGTTGGTCCCTCCCTAGGTGTTTAAAGCAGTGTTCCCCGGACCTTCTCTTTGACTGTCACACGATTTTAGCCCCCCGATGGACTATTTTCATGCTTAGGTTTCAGAAAAGTACCGCTTCGGACTTAGTTTTCAAACTGGGAGCCCCGTGCTAGTTTTATAAGTTTTCACAACTTACATTGGTCCCTCCCGGGGTGCTTGACGTGTTCCCCGGGCCTTCTCGTGACTGTTACACGATTTTGGCCCCCGACGGCTTATTTTCGAGCTTAAGTGTGAAAAAAGTGCATTTTTTGATTTAGTTCTCAAACCGAAAGTCCCGTGCTAGTTCCGTAAGTCTCCGCAACTTACCTTGGACCCTCCCGAGGTGTTTGGGGCATTTTTCGGTCCTTCTCGTGACTATTACACAGTTTTGGCCCGCCCCGGTGGTACTATTTCCAAGCGTAAGTGTGAAAAAAGTGTCTCTTTCCAACTTAGTTTTCAAACCGGGAGTCTCGTGCTAGTTCCGTAAGTTTTCACAACTCGTTGGATCAGTTAAGTTTTTAGGGTATCTGGTAACAAGAAAGGGCATTGAGGCCAGCCCAGACCAAATCAAGGCCATCCTAGAGCTGAAGAGCCCAACGTCGGCAAAACAGGTTCAGATGCTTACAGGAAGGGCCGCAGCCCTAAACAAATTCATCAGCAGAAGCTCAGATAAATGCAGACCCTTCTTCAACTCGGTGAAAAAAGCCACAGACTTTCTGTGGACAGAAGAATGCGAAGCCGCTTTAATCGACCTAAAGAAGTGCTTGACCACAACTCCGGTTCTTTCCAATCGAGAATCAGGGGAAGAACTGTTTTTGTACTTGGCAGTTTCAGAACACGCAGTAAGTGCAGTACTAATCCGAGAAGAAAAATGGGAGCAAAAGGCGGTTTACTATGTAAGCAAAACCTTGGCCAACGCAGAAACAA